TCCCAAGCCAGTTCTTAACCATCGCGCCACTCGGCCGGCCCTGGCCTTTATTGTTTTATTGATACTTTTTCCTTATTGTAAACATTTAAAAGGAAATAAATGCCAATGTTCAGCCTTTCATATTTTTCACCTCTGAGGGTAATCTTATTTTACTGAATTAATTGTGTTATAAGGTCTACAGAATGCTTTCTCCTACCTGAGGAGAGATCCAGACTAAATGAGACTTCAAGAGTCAAAAAAAAGAGACCGGGTTTAATGTACCAAGTTTTACTACACCATTGTTAATATTGCCCTCAGCACAGTGACCTGCCTTCACAATATGTATGAATTTTAAGCTTTCATGCAAAGTAATTATAGTGTCGATGATATTGTTAATAATACTTACTATATGTAAGACACTGTGCTATGTTATATAACTTAATTTTCTGAACAACCCTATTTCATAGAGGGAATTGTGTTTCCAGTCTGTTTAAGCAACTTGAGCTAGTAATTAGTACAGCTGGCTTATCGCCAGTATTTTTAGACACTTGCTTTCCTGATTTTTGAATCCCTTGTCCATGCTTATAGTTAATTTTATAAATGGAAGGATGACCAAAGCAATACAATTATTTTTTCCCAACCATTTTCATCTTGCTTTTCCCATTGTTCTTGAATGGGAGGAAACAAAGAGCTAGCATGGATTTTTTACTTTTTAAAATTACTAACCTATTTTGGTAATTACAAGGAAAAACAAGAGGAAATTTAAAGAAAATATATTTGTTTGACCAAGGTAATTTAAAGGTCAGAGTATTGGCCTGAGAGTTGGACAACAAAATCATCTTGAAAACACAATGAACTGCTTTATTATTTTATGATTAAATTATATATTTTTACTGTTTTTATTCATGGGAAAGTTGTGAAAAGTATTATAATAATTTTAACCATCTGCTTAAGTCATGTAAACAGACAATTAACAATGACAGTTTTAAATATTTTAAAAAATTATTTTAACCTTCTTAGAAAAATATTATTAGCATTTCTGAATGATGGCTAGATTATACCCTATTATTGCATGAAGAGCCTTACCTGAATTTAGGTCTTTCAAAAAAATATTTATCCTGAAGAAAATGCTTTTTGTGTAAAGTATAAGATGTTTTCTATTTTTAGAATTGTGATCTCTCATTTGGCATTATATGATTTTCCTAATGTTACCATAATTTTTTTTTTAGTGTATTTTGGGATCTGTACTGTGCAGCTCCAGAAAGACGGGAAACATGTGAACATTCAAGTGAAGCAAAAGCCTTCCATGATTATGTAAGTTAATACATAATTTTACTGTCATATTGCCAATTTCCTTTTTAACCATTCCTCTTGAAAAATGCATTGGAGCATCTATATTCCTTTGGTACTTAAGAAATTGTTCTTTTTTTCTTGAAAAAAGGCTCATAAATTTAAAAGTGAATTACAAATGGGTGTTTGAGTCTTGTTGAAGAAGCTTAAGAGAAGAGAGTTAGAGTCTTAACTCTAAGCTACTAAAGGCATTTCTCATCCTTAAGCATACCTGATTTGTGTAGTTTTAGATGTATAAAAATTAAGTAGTGATTATTTATTTTCAAAAAAGTCATCATAAGAATTTTGTAAATGATAAGCTTCTCTTTTGCACATGAGATTTTAAATATATATATAGATATATCTATAGATATAGATATAGATATATCTATATCTATATCTATAGAAATAGTCTTCTCTCTTTGCAACTTTCGGCTACATATCATAAGAGATTTGAAGTTCTTTAAGAACATGAAAAATAAGAGTAATTGTAATCATAAGGCTAAATATCCCCCTTCACAGAATTCAGTTCCACAAGTAACATTTATTGTGAATTAAAGGAAGTATAAGATAGGAAAGCAAAAGATTATGTGCAAAATTGAAAATGTGAATTTTTTTTTTAATTCTTAAAAAAGGACAGTGGACTGTCCTTGGCTAGGTACTGTATATTGATTTTTTTTTAGAAGAACCACAAATGTGATTTTAGACAGTTGATATTAGAGTAGAATTGTAAAAAAAAAAAAAAAAAAGCCAGGGGTGGGATGGGGGGGAGGGGTGGCGGGCAGGAAATAAGGAAGATTTTCTTTAGGGGAAAATTGCCTGTAAGAATGAGGAGACTGTATTGCGAAGGGGCTGGGAAAACACTATATTTGCAGAACTGACCATCACAGAAGGATAGACTGAGTTTGGGATTGAGGAAATCCAGTTTCCTTGGTTTGGAGGAAGGGGAATTGGGGCTGGAGCCTAAAGAAGTGTCTGATAGTAAGTACCTAAAACTTAACTACAGGGATACTTGTTTAGTTGGTAGAAGAGAGGCATCATTCTTTGTAAATAACCTTGAAAACCAGAAACAGACCCTCAAAAAGGAAAAAGACCTTGTTCTTCCAAAGGAAACACTTCAGTCGTAGACCGAAGAGAGAAAATAGCCAGAAGAATTTTAACCCCAAAAGTATCACAAGGAAGAGTATGTAGACTTAATAGAAGTGAAACTCTTGGCCATCTGGCAGAAACTGTATAATACTTGAAACGTGTACTAAACTGATTAAAGTGAGACTGCTTGTGATTACCTCATCAGCTATTGATTGTACTTATAAACCTTGCTGTGTACTAAACAATAGCTCTTGGGGAGAAGGTGAGTGAAACAGATGCTACTGACTATAAAGAAAAAGTAGAGGACAGGCACAGAAGGCAAGGTTCGCGACACAGTATTTATCTGAACAATCTCGTTTTCCTTTTGCACCCTTGGTTGATGGCAGAAGGTAAAGCAGAGAGCCACCAAGAGGAGTGTAAGGAGCCTGGCTAGAGCATACTTCATTTCATCTCTCTCCCTTACACCAAAAAAGACATGCCTCGGTTTGGCCTGCCAGTCATGGGAAAAGTTTTCAAAATACACACTAATTTTGACAACTACATGGCATTAGATATTGTAGCGTTCTACTCTAAAGGACATATTATATGTGTGGATCTACATTTAAAAACATTAATTATGTAAGTCCTTTTTCAAAATTCCATTGTATAGAAAGATGCATGTTACTGTTCACAGTGGCATCTTATAGGGAATACTGAATTAATTTAGCATCTGTGTCTTAGAAGCTTAGATAAATCATCATCATTGTCATAGCCATGAACATTGTCATCATCATCATCATCATCATCATCATCATCATCATTTTGCATTCATAAGGCACTTTCAGTATTTCAGAGAATATTCTCACTTATTAGCTTTAGAAACCCACTTAAATATTTCAAGGTTATTGAAAATGAGCATTGACCAGAGGTAGGAATGAAATTAGAGTAGATTTTAAAGGAAGAGCAACCCCTTACCATATAATTTGATCCTAAGAAAATGTAGTTTAAAAAAAGATAAGTACTTGGTTTTTTAATTTATTATGAATATTAGCACGTTTTATCAGATGTTTCATAATTTTACCTTAAATATTAGTTTTAAGAGATTTAATATATTCTTAGACAGCATTTTTAGTATTACCTTCAAGCCAATTTTTTTTCAGTGGTAATGTATCTCCAATTATTTTTTTAATGGAGGTTTGTGAAAAGATAGAGTTTCACTCACATAATTTTTATTACAATTGGATTTTTTTAAGAAATACATTTGTCTTCCATAGCACACATTTATGGTAATTTTCATGAGTTGGATTTTCTGAATCCTTAATAGTAGACAGTTTCTGAAAATGATCAACATAACTCATGTTTAGTGTAAACATTGAAGTTTGAAAGACTCAAGGAAGCAAATGGGAAATAGGAACACACAAGACTTCGGTAAAATTCTAGAATGTTATATTCCTGTATTATGGTCTACTGGGAACCATTTCTGTAATGGTAATTAATATCTATACCTACTGAATTTCAAGGTATTGTAGTTCTCAAGGAAGCATATTGAAAAATATTTTCTTCAGTAGTTGGCATCTTTAAAGTAAAACAATACTCACCTGCATGTATAAATTCTGATATGTTTAAAAAATAGTCTTGTTATTATAGAATCTCTACCTATCTATAAGATCAAATGGATAATGAAAGATAAACTACTTTTTTTTTGAAGAAATAGTAGAGGCATAACCAGGTAAATAATGAATAATCCTTTTAATTAAAAAAATAGACTAAAATGTTAAAAGAGATTATTTCGATATTGGGATTATGCATGATTTTTATTTTTGTCTACATTTTCTGTATTTTCCAAATATTTATAGTTAATATTAATTTTATATTCAAGAAAGTTACTTTGAAGCAGATTAAATTTCACCTTTCAGTGAGCTCCAATCTCTCTTCTGAAATTAGAAAATAAAAAACTTAGTAAAATAAAATTTAAATTTGAGATGGTCGTATGTTTTCATACCACCATGTTATATGCATAGGCATTTAGCATTTCTCATGAAAGACATTTTTTGATACATGCACATATTAATAGGGATTACTTATAAACTGAACAGATGTAATTTTGAACCACTCTATAATTTTGAATAACTTTTTTTAATTTGGTAATTATCCCAGAAATATTATTTTTTTGTTGATAATTTCTATAAAAATTTATTTGATCCCAAAAGAGGATACACCTGGAAGCAAGATCTCAACAGACTGAGATAAATGCTTCTCCCAGAAACACTTTTGGCTTTTAAATTTTTTTGGTTTGTTTTTGCCTCTTTAGAATATGGATTTTTGTTACTTTATTATTTTATTTGCCAAATGCATTTATAGATGCATTGTTACTATCCTTTTTCTTGAAAAAAATCACCCTGTCCAAACTTACTATGAGAAAAAGAGAAAACATTTAAAATGCATTTATATATTAAAATAGATTAACTTAAATATTTAGCAACTGTATGAAATACTAAATGTAAAATAATAATACCTGTAGAAATCAATAGGTAACAGTGTGTAAAGATGCACGTTTGGATGGCAAAGATATAAAAAACAAGGAAATGATTACTCAACAAGTCAGGGTAATGGTACCTTATGGGAGGTACTGCACAGCTCCAGAAAGAGGCTGTGATTGGGATTTGGCTCATGGAAAGGGCGTCTGAGTTGGTTGACACAGTTCTGTTTTTTCTGACCACCGTGGTGGTTACTTTATAATAACCATATGTTTATGAAATTTTATAGTGTCATAACTTTATTTTGTGTGGTTTTCCTATGTATTTTTAAAATTTTAAAATAATGAAATTTCTAAACACAGTTAAGATGATTAACTTTAGAAGAATATGCCCCATAGTTTCTAATGTTTCCAGGCATCCTTGTGGTTCATTCTTAAGAACTAAATGAGGAAAATCTAGGGATTTCCAAACAATTCCGTGTTTGTTTCTTCTCTGTTATGACAGATACTGTGAAAATGTCTACCTGTCGATTTTCCAGAGAGGATACAAACAAAGATCAGAAATGTTGGAGGGAAATTTAGTAATTAGGAATTTACCTTATAGGAGAATATAGAGATTATACTGTGGAACAGTTATTTTGCCACATGGCTAGGAGATACCGAGCTTGGCCCTGTTATTTTTATCCTGAATGTAAACCAAGTTCATCTGAGTTGTAAAATTACTATTACATACTACAATATTATTATTAAAAAGTGAACCATCATTTCAAGTGATTAAAATAATGCCTACAAACTTGTAAAGTTTATTGGGCTCACTTTTATTTTCTCCCTGTTAGTGTGTTTTTATTTTACTCTGAAATTACAAACAATGCTTTTATGTGGAGTTAATTAAAGTTCGCTAGATTTTTTTCCTGCTACAGCTTAACATAGAATTATTCTATTTAACAATTTCTTTCTGATACCTTTCATTTCAAACAAATTTAGGAAAAGTATCAATATATACTTCTGTTTTTAATGAAAAATATATACAGTGATTATAATTTTAGTTCTCTGGTATGACTAGAAGACTCCTTAATTGTCCTAAGGCAAAGATAGAGCCAAAATATATTATTGCTATTGTGTGATGGTAATGAAATCACGTTATTATAATGAGCTCTTGAGTAGAGAATTAGATTCATTCTTCTCCAGGGTCTGTCAAATATTAGATGCTCAATAAATATTAACAGAATGCAGTAGTCTGGGAAATTGGAAGTGTTTCAGATTGTTCCAATGTTCAGGTAAAATGATAGGGTTGAGTCATAATTGTTAATAACATGTGGCTGCTTTTTGTATTCTTGCCTAAGAGTGTTTATAACATCTAGAAATGATTGTTACAGGTTTGTAATTATGGGGTATGTTTTAAAAATGATACATAAACATATTATGTAAATAAAAAAATAGG